GGGGTGAGGGGCGGGGCTAGGGGCGGGGCTAAAGGCGAGCACACCTGCCTATAACAAGTAACAATAATGATAAAATTAAATAAAAATAGAGACGGTTGAGCGGCCTGTCTGGGTGGGGGTGGGCAAGAGTAAAAGTCTATCTGGAAAGCCTTGGATATCACTGATAGGTTGTATCACTGTTACCCATCCACTGACTTGGGCCATCACCTCCCATTTGTTGACTGTTTCCCTTCCTCAGATAGTATATTTTAGAAGATTTGCTGCTTAATTATAATTTGCACAATAGCAAGTGGCCGTGTAAATTTTCTAGAATGTGATGACAACTAAATCATAATCTCTCTCCTACGACCCTGTTTGTGGAGGAGGAAACGTCCTCAGAGAGGTGAAGTGATTTACTGGAAGTCACACAGCTAATTATGGGCAGCGCCCAAGGTCTGACTGTCCGACACCTATGCTCTTTACCAAGCCAGGCTGCCTCACTGTCATTTTAGTTAACCCACCAGTTTTCACTGGTGACTGGATACATAGAGGTTTTTAAGCTTTTGAAATGCTTAAAATAGTTTCAAGACCTCTGTTTCTGCTCTAAGTGGGTATTAGCCAGGGTTCTCCAAACAGAACTGATAGGATGTGTATTTTTAGAGAGCTTTATTTTAAGGACTTAGCTCACTGTAGAGGCGAGTCAGAAATCTGCTGGGTAGGCAGGCAGGCAGGCTAGAGCCCGGGAAAACCCAGCCTCGCAGTCCAGGTCTGAAGATAGCTGGCAGAATTCCACCTCTGGGGTTTGGAACCACGTAGTGTGTTAGCATGGCCCCGCATTTTACTGGTCAGAACTGAGGCTGTGGGAGATGGAGTGACTTGCCCAAGGGCACAGAGATGTTAAGAACCCAGCAGAGCCACTCCTGTTTCCGAATTCCAGCACAGTTCTTGTTCCTTGTCTCCAGTGTCCTGTGTTTGAGCTATGGCCAGTTTAGAGGAACAGGTGACATCTAACCTAGTTCCCGGCCTCTGTTCTTGTCTTAACCAGCAAGCCAAGGATAAGAGAGTAGACAAATCCTGCCTAGAACAAAAAAGGCTCTTTTATTTTCTAAACTGAGAAGATTTGTTCTCCTGAGCTTACCATTTACACACCCTTTTCTCACATTTCACCATCCTGTGTCTTTCTCATTGGCTGTCAGTTAATTTCACATTAAAAAATGTTTGCCTTGGGGCCAGCAGGTGGCATTGTGGCTAAGGCGCTGGACTCCCATGTGGCCGACTGTGGTTTGAGGGCCAGACCTGGCATCTTGAAACTCACACCGGGAGCATGTGCATGCATGCCCAGAATCCCGGGAGGAGAAGGGATTGTGGCATGGTCATCCCCCCCAGGGGGGTGATTTCACATTATCTGTCTCTCTGTCTCTTTGGCAAGTGTATGTGTCCTGTAGAAAAAAAAAAAAAATAAACAAAAATAAACAACCCTCTCTCTCAAAAAAAAGTTTGGCTTCTGGGCCAGCCAATGACATCGTGGCTAAGGTAGCTGAATCTGCCATGGTGTGGTTCAAGTCCCAGACCCAGCCGCTTGAAAAACTCGCTGGGTGCATGTAAATGTGTGCCCATGATTCTGAAAGGGGCAGAGATGGAAAGGTTGCGATGTGAACATCTCCCGTGGGGTGGGGGGTTCTCTCTCTCTTCCTCTCTCTCTCTCTCTAGCAAACACACCTCTGGCAAATTCAAAAATAAAATACATCTTTTGAACAAAATTGCCGGATCTGGTGATGCTAGTGCTAAAACCCCGTGCATTGTCAGACTGCAGTAGAAGAGAGGCTGCTCCTTTTAGACAGAGGCATGTAAAAGGGTGCAGTTACAAAATACGTAAAGGACAGGAGTATACTTTCACCAAGAGGAGATGTAAGTGCCAAGTAAGCATAGGAAAAGATGTTCAGTATCATTAGCCACTAGAGAAATGCAAATTTCAAACACTAGAAGGCACCACTGCACAGTTACTGGAACAAATAAAATAAAAAATAGTGACAATATTAAATGCTGGTGAGGATGCAGAGAAACTATTAGGTCATCGGGAAAGTCGTGACATATTTTTCTATGTATCTATGCAAAAATGTGTCCTGACTTTCCCAACGACCCAATAGGTCTCTTTTATGTTACTGGTGGGGATATATGATGGAAAGTAATTTGGCAGTTTCTTGCAAAACTAAATATGCATTTATGACATGACCCAGCCATGCAGTCTTGGACTAAAAGTTTACTCGAGAATGAGAAGTGACGTTCACACAGAAACCTGTACATAGCTGCTGTGGAAAACAGTAGAGCAATCCCTCAAATAAGTTAAAACTGCAATTATTCAGGGTGCTGAGACAGGAAAATCATGGCCAACCGGGGCAACAGAAGCCTGTCTTTAAGGAAAAAAATGAAAAGTAGAATTACCATATGATTCAGCAGTTTCACTTCCGAGCGTATGCCCGAGAGAACTGAAAGCAGGGACGCACATATTTGAACCTCAGTGTTTACAGCAGCATTACCTACAGTCGGCATAGGGAGAAGCAACCCAAGTACCCAGCAGATGAGGGGATAAACAAAATGTATATACACACACTGGAATACTACTCAGCCTTAAAAGGAAATTCTGATACATGCCACAACATGGATGCACCTTGAAGACATTATGGTATGTGAAATAAGTCAGTCGTAAAACAGAGGCCGGCATGGGTGACATGGCGGTTAAGGCACTGGACTCCCACCTAGCTGACTGTTGTTCAAGTCCCATACCTGGTGGCTTGAAACTCATGCCAGGTGTGTGTGTGTGTACCCCAAATCCTAAGAGAATGGAGGAGAAGGGATTGAGGCATGGCCATCTCCCCCAGGGGGTGATTTCTCATGTTCTATCTCTGTCTCTTCCTGTGAGTGCACACACCCTACAGAAAAAAATAAAACATTTAAAAATAAAATGAATACTTTAAAATGTGTAAATGTGTGTGTGTGTGTGTATATATATATAGATATATAGATATATAGATATATAGATATATAGATATATAGATATATAGATATATACTATATATAGATATGTATGTATAATTTCAGAACCATGGTTGATATGGGATTATTTCTTCTGCTCCCTAGAGTTTGTAAAATGGTAAGAAAAGATGGACTTTAATTTTATCAAAAAGTTCGAAGTTACAGTGGGAGGTGAATTAACTTATCGACACCTGGTGCTTTTGGGATCTGCAGAAGTAAAGTTGCTGTGGGCCGGAGGGTCAGGGCTGGTTAAAAGGGAAGGAGGTGAGCTGGGCTCCGTGGATGAGCAGGGGTGAGCCCGGCAGAGCAGGACCCCAGAAACAGGGGCAGGCAGGTGGCTGAGCAAAGGCTGAGAGAAACATCGGAGGAGGGTTAAGGGCCATGCACAGCCAGCCTGGTGAGGCACTGGGCAGTGTTGGAAACCCAGCTGGGTGGACCGTGAGAAGCAGTGACACGCGAGAGCAATGTGGTTTGGCGTGGCTCTGTGCAGGGAAGGGCTGGCATGGAGCAGGGGAGTCCAGAGATGGGGCTCGGCCTTTTGCCCATGTGCGTGCCAAGTGCCACACCCAGGGCCTGTGAGTGACTGGCCATGGAGCTGGGAGGAAGGGAGCAGCGGGTCCGACCATTGGAGGAGATGGAAAAATGACATCCCTGAGACCTGAAGCAGGGGAGGACCTTTGTGACAAACGAGCTGTCTTCCCCAGCACAGCACAGCCTAGGGTGCCTGCACCTCCGTTTGTTTCTCTCTAGACTTTTGTACCCCACTGGGTCGTCGGAAAAGTCATGATGCATTTTGCATTGAAAAATAGAAAATACGTCATGATTTTCCCAACAACCTAGTAGTTTCCTTGCTCACAGGGCAGCCTATCAGTTCTGAGGCTGAGATGGGAAGACAGGACTCAGCGACTCAGCCCCAGGCATACCCCTGGTCTCACTCCCTTGCCTGCCACAGCAGCCTGAGCCACTGTCAGTCCCATGCTCTTGGAAGCTGTCCAGGCACTGTCAGCCAAGGCCTTGCTGAGAGCGGTCTCAGACACCTGCAGGGTCGCGCCCACCACAGGGCTGGAAAGTCCTGACCTCGCTTACCACAGTTCTGTCGGCTGGCTGTGACCCTCGTGATGTTTTTCTAAATGATGAGACAAAGCAGGGTGACCTGAACCCAGGAGAGAAGTCAAACCCAATTTGTTGTGTTTATATCAACTCTCAATCTTGTCAGGGAGGACCCTGCCTCACCCCTTCCCTTCTCTTGTTTCCCTTTACTTGCGCCTTACTAGGCCCCCTGGTTCAGGGTATTCTTTTATCCCCACAGGCAATTTTTACCCAGAAAAACAAGCTGGCGCCTGACCCATTGGACACTCGACGCTGGCAGGGCTTCCGGCTGGAGGAGTATCTGATAGGGCAGTCCATTGGCAAGGGCTGCAGTGCTGCTGTGTATGAGGCCACCATGCCTGCGCTGCCCCAGAACCTGAGTGGGGCGAAGAGCACTGGTCTCCTTCCGAGGTCAGACCCAGACGTCATTCCATCCGGAGACGGGGAGGAGCGAGCTCCAGGGGCCCCTGCCTTTCCCTTAGCCATCAAGATGATGTGGAACATCTCGGTAAGGATGGGCCTTTCCTCTTAAAGTAGGCACTTAAGATGCAAGTCTTAGTGGAGCTGGTTTTTTCCCCAGGAAGGAGATAGGAAAAGACTGATTCTCCACGGGAAAGGTGCCTGTACAGCTAGGTCTCTCCACTCTTGTTTCTGGAGTCCAGAGCATCATCTCAAATTGTCCTATGTCCAGCTATAGTCAGGTTGAAGGGCAGGTTCTGGGGCCCGCACAGGGTCTGTGATTCGAACTCCAACATGCACTCAGATGGTCTACGAACCTCACTCTGAGTGGCAAGTGTCCAAGCACTGATTTCTAACCCGATCAGTTATCGTTTCAGGTCTGCCTTTACTGCCACTCCGTCCTTTTCCTGCCTCCCTGGAGAGGGGGAGCCGTACTCCTTCCTCTAACTCACCCTTCTAGCTCCCTCCAGATCTAAGGCTCTCTCGTCACCCACCTGCTCGCAGCTCTTGGGAGGATTCAAGGCTTTGGAAAATTGAGTATTTTCCCCACAAAAACAAATATTTCTATTTAATCTCTCTACATTTGCCACATGGGTTTAGAACTTTAATCAGTCTCTGGTGTTCTTTCTCCTGCCCAGAGCATCCATCCAAGGCTGGGGTGGAAAACAGCCATGGCAGTTCATGCCCAACACTAAACAGTGCAGTTTCTTGCTTTCATTTTGGAAATGAAGGGTTTTTTGCCATAGGGCGGGTGCCACCACGCCCAGGAAATGAAGGGTTTTTTTTAAAAAAAAGAAAGAAAGAAAGAAAGAAAAAGATTTATTTATTTATCTAATTCCATTTGTTATTATTATTTTTTAAATTTGACCAGACAGAAACAGAGAGAGAGAAAAAGGGAAGGTGAGAAGGCAAGCCACCAGGTCCGGGACTTGAACTGCAGTCAGCCATGTGGAAACCCAGTGCCCTTCACCGCCATGCCACCTGCCAGCTCCCCAAAATGAAGGTTTTGAAACTGTGCACACCATGCTGGGCCAATATGTCACAAGTAGCCAAATCCATTGCCTGTGAAACACCCAGTCTCAGCATGAAAACTCCTACTGGTGGGGGGATGGCAGCTCCCGCATTCACAAAAGCTGCCAGAGTGTTGGTTCTTCCAGGATCTTCTTAATACTTAACACGATCTAAGCCTTGAGAGCCATTCATAATGAACTGAGGAAAACGCGGTTGCTTTTCCTCCTTCCTGGTTTTTCTGTGTCGGGGCTGGGGCAGGCCTTCTTGCACAGTCTAATCCGGAGTGGAGTACTCCAGGCAGCCTGCAGAATGCACCCTTGTGACCCAGTGGTCAGCTTCCAGCAGAGAGACCTACAGCAGGAAGAAGTCACCCAGGCATCTCCTGCACTGGGCACTGGGCTGTCAGAGCTGGAGGCGTGGGTTGTACCCTCTGAGTTGGCATGGATGGCATGGCTACCCTCTTCCTCCAGGATAACTAGTCTTGGAGGCCACTTCGGAGGTGATCTCGCCTTGAAAGTCAGAGCCAGTAGCTGTCCTGGTCCAGATTCCAGCCAAGGCTTGGCAGTTGCCATTTCGCTCGGTCTGTGTAACTCTGGGTTTGCTATGGGTGTCTTTCAGGCAGGCTCTTCCAGTGAAGCCATCTTTAGCACCATGAGCCAGGAGCTAGTTCCAGCTAGCCGAGTGGCCTTGGCCGGGGAGTTTGGAGCAGTCACTTACAGGTAAGGCCCCTGTGCCCGCCACACTGAGTTCTCCGAGAGCAGAATCACAGCCGGGTCCCAGCACTCAGCCCTGTGTCTGCCAGGATGCACAGCGGTTATGTCTTAGTGAACTGTGTTGTCAGAACTGGATCATCAGGTAGGGGACAGACTGCAGATAACCTGACCCAACTGATAATGACAGGTGGCTAACTCATGTGGGAGTGTGCGAGGCCATCTCAGAGTGCCCAGTTAAGGCCGCTGGGGGCTGGCCCCATAGCGCAGTGGTTAAGAGGGCCAGGTCCGAGGTGGCTGACCGTGATTCAAATCCTGGCCCTGTGGCTTGGAAAACATACTAGGTTAAGTGTGCATGTGCGCTCCAAATCCCACAGGTTAGAGAAACGGCAAAAAAGGGATTACGATGTGACTGTGCCCCAGTGGGGGGTGCTTTTCTGCCTTCTTATTTCTTTCCAGTAGACACATGTACCCTCTGGCAATTAAAACAGACCAAAACAAAAAGAACGTTGGGAAACTCATCCAGTTCCCTGATTCCTCCCAAGTAATTCACAGGTGAAGCGCCACCTACTGGTATGAACTGAACACTGTCCCCACAAAAGGAACACTCATTCCACTAACAGCCACCGCACATCTTATGGTGCCAGAGACTGAAAATGTAAGTGGGCTCTCCCCTACGAGTTCTCAGTGTGGCCACAGAGAGCCCAGTGTGCTCAGTGCTCAGAGCCTCAGGTCCTGGGGGAGCCCAGAGGTGTGTACACGGCAGGGGTGAAGGCCACTCAGGAGGGCTCACAAAAGGACAACTGGACAATTCATACCGACTTTTTCAAGATTCTATTCTTTCTTTCTTTCTTTCATGAGAGAAAGACGGATAAGACACCCTGACAGGGTCCTGCCATTGCTGGTATTCCCCTGAGCCTCTGGTCAGCTAGGATGGTGAGTGTGTCGGCAGGCAGCTCGACCCTGGGGCCCTCCGGTTTCGCTCCAATATCGTATGACGGTGGCCTGCCGGCTGCGTCATCACAGCCAGGCTGCTCTGCCTTTGGAATGGCGAACAGGCACTGCCCAGGCAACGAAGCAGGAAAGGAGGTGGAAGGAAGCAGAACCAAGAGCAAGTGGGCAGGGCCTGCGCTTGGGCTCTGTGAGTCCCCCCACCAGTGGTGACCACTGATGCTCAATCTTCTTTGTTGGCCACAGGGCACATATGCTCACCAGAGAGACAGAGAGAGACAGAAAGAGAAAGGGAGAGGGGGGAAGTACCTCCCAATGGGGCATAATCAGGCCATAACCCGTCCTCAATTTCTCCACCCTTTTGGGATTTGGGCATGCACACATTACATGCCTGGTATGTTTTCAAGTCTCCAGGGCTAGGATTCAAACTCCATGACTGGCCATATGGGATCCAGCTCCTTTAAACACCAAGCATAGGGCTAGCCCTGATGCTCAATCTTACAACAAAAAGAGCCATGTGTTATGTGTTACCTTATTGCACTCTGCCACACACACACACACAGACACACACACACACACCGGTAAGAGGTAGCCCTGCTGCATTTTGATGATTCTCAAGAGGACTGGTCATAGATCCTAGGTCTGTCCAAGGCAGGAGAGAAATAGGACCTTAAGGGACTAAACCACAGGTGGCTCCAGCATGACCAACGGCCCTGCAGGCCAGCGGAGGCAGCCGCTCAGATGGCCTGACACCCTCAGCCTCAGCTCCTTAGCCCTTGGTAGAAAAAGTGAACACCTGAATGCCTCTATCTGGGGACAGAAATATACTGCACATGATCTTGGAGAACACACCCTTCAGTGCATCTGTCCGTCTGCTCATCTGTCTGTGCACCCGTCCAGTCACCCGTCCTATGTGGCAGCACCTGGTGGCTGAGAGACCTGGAATCAGCTTGAGTCTGAATTGCAGGCCTGCCAGTGCCAGTCCTTGGCCAGGTTACTGATCTTGGCTGGGCTGCCTCCAGTGCAGAGGTGTGTAAGGCAGTAACACACCGCACGAGGCTAACACGTACGAAGCACCTAGAATCCCAGACTTAGCAAATACTGGCTGTCACTTTATCCATTCACTAGTTATTGTCTGCAAACTGAATACATTGTGCGAGTCTGCTGTGAAGCCGTAGCAGGGGACAGGACAGAGTCCCTGTCCTCAGGTTTGCAGGCTCACGGAATCAGAGGCATTCACTGAGTCAGTAACTGCTTTCACTCCCTAAGAGCAAGGACCATGCTGGCTTTTCTCCGTGTTCCCAGTTCTAGTGTTAAGAGCTGACATGAGGTTCGAGCTCACCAGCTTTTGCTGAGGGGCAGGTGTAGCTAGTCAGAGAGATGTCGCCTGCCTGCCCTCCAGGATCACACTCAGTACCTGCACGTGGCAAATGATCGATATTTGGTGCAGGCCCAGCTGCAGTGGCACGGGCAGTAGTGTGCCACTGTGCAGTACTGGGTCCAAATGGGCAGCCTGAGGTCTGGTCCCAGATCAGCCCGAGCACCCATGGCTCTGGCTGGTGGGAGGGTGGGGAAGGATAGTGGTGTGGCAGGGCCCTGTCCGTCTGTCTCTTCCTCTCGTGAAATAAACAAACTTAGATGTGCATACCCGACACACACATATGTATGTATATATTTAATACTTAAAAGGGACCAGCAGGTGGTGTATTGGTTGTATCGCTGGACTCCCACATGGTTGACCAGTTGGAGTCTTGGACCCAGCGGCTTGAAACTCATGCTGGGTGCACATGCGTGCATGCCCAAAATCCGGAGGGGAATGTAGGGATTGCAGCATGGCATCCCTCCTGGGGAGTGATTTTCTGCTTTCTGTCCGTCTGGCAGGTACACATGCCCTATAGCAAAAAATCTCTCTTAAAAAATAAGAGATATTCGATTATTATTAGAGATGATAGGTCTTAGGTTATCATCTTACCAACTGCCGTATCTGATTCTGGCCTGTTACGTTTGTCCCACTTGGCTGAATAGAAAATCCAAGGGAGGTCCCAAGCAACTAGCCCCTCATCCCAACATCATCCGGGTTTTCCGCGCCTTCACCTCATCGGTGCCGTTGCTGCCAGGGGCTCTGGTCGACTACCCTGACGTGCTGCCGCCCCGCCTCCACCCCGAGGGCCTGGGCCATGGACGGACACTGTTCCTTGTGATGAAGAAGTAAGTGGCGGGGTGGTAGGCCCCGGGAGCTGCCTCAGCTTCCCAGTGCAGGCTGGCCCCTGCCCTCGGTGTGCATGCCCATGAGAAAGGGGTTTCCGGAAGAGAGCTCGCACCCCTTGGGAGGACGAGCCCATGCAGAGGCAGTGCGTCTGCCCGAGAGGAGTTTCCCGGTGAGGTGAGTCTTCATGAAAACGAAGGCTCATCTTCACCCAGAACATACTTTACAATTAGTGGGATGCTACATTTGACTATTAGCCTTTCTCGGCTTGCCTTAGCTGCTTTGAAAATAAAAACAGGGGCCGCAGATGGCGTGGTGGTTAGGGGCACTGGACTCCCATACAGCCGCCTGTGGTTCGAGTCCTGGACCTGGCAGCTTGCTTTCTCACTTTCCCTCTCTCTCTCTCTCTGTCTGTCCCTCTCTGGTCAAATTAAAATGGGTGAATAAATAAATAAAGATGAGCAAAAATAGTTTTTAAAAAAAGAAAGAAAAGAAAATAGTCCTTAGGTCACCCTCCGTCCACCTAACCCCGCCATGAGGCTGCTGTGAGGAAAACGTGTCTCCGCCAT